AACTACATGGGTGACCACTTGGGAATACCAGATTTTGTAAGCATGAATGTGCGGGTGGTGTAATGGATAATGGCTCGGAATTTATAACCGGCGAGCCGAGTTCCAATTTCCGTTGTGTTCGTTATAGTTAATTGCAATTTCCCTTGGGAAATGTAAGAATCCACTTCCTTCTCCCCACCCCCGCAGCTATGAGTTAATTAGTAAGAGACGTATCACTAAATAATCATTATCTCAAAAATAAATTTTTGCGATCTAAAAATATGTTCTGATGTTGTATAACTTGAAAAGGGTTGATAAATCGTAAAAAACGAAATAAATGCTATGGATTTTATGATAAAATGCCATAAAACTACGGATCGTTTAAATTGGGGTCATCACTGTGATTACCACTTTGGTGTAGTGTAAGGGCAATTCGGCGTGATGTAATGGTTAGCAAGACTGTCTCGCTAGATCAGTTACGACTGAAATAGTGAGTTCGTTCCTCACTGAGTGCCCCATAATTTCGTCCTTGTGCCACATCTAAGCTACGCTTAGAAAATGACCATATCATGATTACCAGTGAAAATGCATGATAGAACTCACGGTAAAATTGATTGCTTTTTTTGTGAATTTCTTTTATCTGGGTGAATTTAAGCACACATTACTACAAATTCAATTATCTGTCCTCCTTGAAAGGACTGTGATTGCAAAGGGACACATGTTTAGCGGTCTCTTGGTCAAATAAGTCGAAATAATGTTGAATCAAGCTTATTTTATGCTATGTCTTTCAGGACGTAGATTATCATAGTTTCCGACTGATTCCTGTGAATTGCCAGGACTTCATTCGACTGATAGTGGAACCGTTTCCCGTCGACGTATCAAATTCAGAGTAGTCTTTCTTCTACACCAGCTGGCAACCACGGCTAGGGAGACCAGTCTGACCATAACTGGCACGGAGGGAGAGACTGGTTTATTGTAATACAACTATTTTTTCTAGACTTTTTTGTGCGAAAGTGAATGCAATAGCTTAGTCGGAATTTGGAACATGGTTCACCGATTCCGCTTGCCGGGTCGATAACTGTTACGCCACCCGCACGTCACGTCATGGCATTACTTATTATTTTATTCTATTATCTGAGGAAAGAAATAAAATTTATTTCTGCATATCAGTTCCTATGTGTGTGGTAATATGTATGTGTCTGTGTGAGTGTGTGTGTGTCTGTGTGTGTGTGTCTGTGTGCGTGATTTAAACGATTCGATGCTGACGCCTTGGAAATTGCCCGTAAATATCAAATACCGCGATAATAACGTTAACTGTGATTATTTTTTATCACGATACGCTTGATCATGAGTTTAGAATTGGACTATGTTTTTATTGCAAGAAAATGTGAGGGCGTGCAGATAGATAGATAGATAGATAGATAGATAGATAGATAGATAGATGAAATAAACAGAGATAAGTTTAAACAGGGACTAAGAAAAAAGAAAGAAAGAAAGAAAGAAAGAAAGAAAGAAGGGATGAATTTAATGTGATTACAAATTAAAAAAAGAACATTTATATAAAGAAAGATACAAGAAAGAGAAAGAATGAAATTTAATGAAACAATGCACATAAAAAAGCAATAAAAGAGAAAAGAGAGAAGACAGATATAGAGAGTACAAAGTGAGAATGAAAGAAAGAAAGAAATTTATTGACAAGAATACACAAATAAACGCAGAAAACAATGAAGAAAATGATAACGAAAGAAAGAAAGAAACAAAGGAAGGAAGAAAGAAAGAAAGAATAAAGAAATTTAATGACGCGAATACGCCAAAACACGGAGAGAAAAGAAAGAAAGAAAAGAAATTTAATGACGCGAATACACAAAAAAACGGAAAGAAAGAAAGAAGAAAGAAAAAAACAAAAAATTGATGACGTGAATAGACAAAAACACGGAGAGAAAAGAAAAGAAAGAAAGAAAGAAAGAAAGAAAGAAAAAAGTAAGTAATAAAAAGAAATTTAATGACGCGAATACGCCAAAACACGGAGAGAAAAGAAAGAAAGAAAGAAAGAAAGAAAGAAAGAAAGAATACACCAAAACAAGGAGAGCAAGTAAGAAAGAAAGAAAAAAAGAAAGTAAAAAGAAAGAAAGAAAGAAAAGAAATTTAATGACGCGAATACACAAAAAAAACGAAAAGAAAGAAAGAAAGAAAAGAAATTTAATGACGCGAATACACAAAAAAACGGAAAGAAAGAAAGAAAGAAAGAAAGAAAGAAATTTGATGACGTGAAAAGACAAAAACACGGAGAGAAAAAAAAGAAAGAAAAAGAAAGAAAGAAAGAAAGAAAGAAAGAAAGAAAAAAGTAAGTAATAAAAAGAAATTTAATGACGCGAATACACCAAAACACGGAGAGAAAAGAAAGAAAGAAAGAAAGAAAGAAAGAAATTTAATGACGCGAATACACCAATAAACGGAGAAAGAGAGAACGAAGGGAAACATCAAAATAATGATGAAATTTAATAATGAAGGAATAAATTTGACGATAAATAAAAGAAATATACGATAAACATGAAGTGATAAACTGAAAACTGCTTACATCTCAAGTGCAAAATCCCGGTGCATTTAAATGCCTCTGGGTAAAGTACTCCAGAAGCAAAATAATAACAAGAAGTAAGATTCTTTGAAGAACATCTGTTCGTTTATTCCAATTTCGTATACGAAGTTTACATGAGACGTCCATGTAAATATGAGGCTTCATATTACAATATGATAGTTTGGGAAAAGAACGGGTGATAAGTAGAGATTTTCACAAATAGCTCGTATGTGAACGTGAACATATATAAGGATATGAAATGTCAAAGAGATAAAACAGTTATAGAAAATAGAGAGAGGATCAAAATCTGAAAGACATAGATACATAGGAAGATATTGAACAAGACATAGACAGATAGGAACAAACTGAACAATAGATAGATAGATAGATAGATAGATAGATAGATAGATAGATAGATAAGAACAGACTAAATGACACAGATAGATAGATAGATAGATAGATGAATATAGATAGACAGATAGATAGATAGATAGGAACAGACTGAATAACACAAATAGATAGATAGATAGATAGATAGATAGATAGATAGATAGATAGATGGGAAAAGACTGAATAACACAGATAGATAGATAGATAGATAGATAGATAGATAGATAGATAGATAGATAGGAACTGACTGAATAACACAAATAGATAGATAGATAGATAGATAGATAGGAACAGACTAAATAACAGATAGATAGATAGATAGATAGATAGATAGATAGATAGATAGATAGATAAAAACAAACTAAATAACACAAATAGATAGATAGATAGATAGATAGATAGATAGATAGATAGATGTATTTAATGAATGCCGAAACCGAATGGTATGAATAGGCAGACCTAGCATAATATGAAAATATAATTAATATTATGCAGGCTCTCTCTATCCTTCTTAGATATCATTATTCACAATTCTGTTTGCTGTTTATACTTGAATTCCTTAAGAATACTGGAGTGAAAAGCCTCATTATATCAACCAACAAAACCGCCATATACACACCTAAACACGGGCACATATATACACACAGACGCATTTACATATGTATGCAAAGAAAGAAAGAAAGAAAGAATGTTTGAGGGGGAGAGAAATTGACAGACAAAAAAGTGAGTAAGGTGAGATTAATACCCATGACCAATGATCCATTCAAATCACATAGAAAATCTAATTCAATTTTCGCAATCTTTCTACCATTAGATGAAAAAAGCAATAGAAAATTTCCTATCCAAATTATATCTGCCCAATGTTTGGAAACAGAGATTCTTGTCTTTGAAAACTTTCCTTTCTTCAAAAGATGACCTATGAAGCATCAACACAAATATACACCCCACACTTTAAATAAGTACATATATTTAACTAATTAGGGAAATTAAACTAGAAAATAATTAACTGATATATTTTTCATATAAAGTACTTCAAAGATTTCATCAATTTCTCAAAGGTCTAATTTTTTTCAAAAAAACGCCTCCCCGATCTTTTAAACAGGATATATATATATATATATATATATATATATATATATATATATATATATATATATATATATATATTCCTGTTTTCCTGTTTATGATTGGACTTCTAAAATCTTTTCATTGTCTTTCACTCCCAGTAACCTCTTGCATGTTAGTGGAATTATCGAATTGCTTTGGGTGAATTGATTTCTTAAAAAATCATTATTCGCTCTATTTATCATTTTATGTTTTTACCAGAGCTCATACTGCAATTTTTGTTGTTGTTATCGCTTTTCTCTGGTACTCCTTTTTACTGGTTCTCATATTGTATTCATTTCTATGCTTGGTCGGCTCAGGAGAGTTTTGTGGCCTAGCATATGTGCTGATTCCTTAAGTTTATGAATTTTCCAATGCTGATCTTGCCCGAATTCAATAGTCCGATAATGTAAATAAAGTTTACGGTAGATGGCGCTGTGTTGTCGTGTAGACTAGGTTACATTTGTCATTCGTGTACATTTGTGGCTAATCTTTCTTCAACGTTTAACGGGTGTATTAGTGAGTTAACTGAGAAGTGTTTCGTTCAACAATGGCAGGATATTCATATCGTGAGCAAGTAGATATGATTTTACATACGACCGCGTGAATGGTAATGCACGCGAGACTACACAGCTGTTTCAGATTACGAAGGCAGCCGAGTCATTCAACCTTTGCTGCTGTTTATCGTCACTTGACCACGAAGAACATATTCTACTGGCAGCCGGAGTCGATCCAGGTATTAGCACACGTAAACGTGAAGCATGTCCTAAATTGCATGGAGGGTACTTCAAGAACAGCTCCTGTATCTGTACCCTTTGCAACTTATGCGGGATTATTTGCCCTCCGTTCACTCACCACGGGAGAACCTTCGCCGATGGTTTATTACACAATCTTCTAATCTGTTGTTTTTCACTTCAGTTTTGTTTACGGATGAGGCAACATTTAGAAGAGATGGAATAACAAATTTACACAACCATCATTTGTGGGCGGATCAGAATCCAAATGATTCAATACAGGCTAGAACCCAGCATCAGTTTACGATTAGTGTGGGCTGGAATTGTAGGTGACTGTTTGGTAGGTCCATATATTCTCCCGTCATGTCTTACAGGAGGTGTCAACAGTGAGTTTATTTCAAACATAGTTCCAGACCTTGTGAATACAAAGAGGCATGTGGCCGATGCATACTGGGACTCTAGCACATTTTAGTCGCATTGTTCGTGATGCACTGTCTGACATCTAACACAAAACATCGATAGGTATGGTAGGAAATGTTTTTCAGTGATTCTTACGGCAAATGGTGGTAAGATGACTAAACGTCTTATCTGATAACCTGAAAAAAAGCAAAAGTGTTTTCTTAGATATTAAACATTTTGTGGGATGGACAATTATGCAATGCTGTTACACGATTTGGAGAATTTTGCTTTTACACCCGATATACTGAGAGCCAAATCATTATTATAACCTGCGTAACGAAGTGTTGATACTCCATATGTTCGAAAATAGCTCTTAAGATGTGTGGACCCTGCAAAACATCGAATTCTAAAGAATTCTTCTGTGATCTAATCTAATAGTTTTAATAATTCATATTTACGTTTTCTCTCGTTTATTACAGAATGTGAAGATCAAGGCCAGGATTGTCAGTGGTCGGTTGGAATTCACCTTGGGTCTGCTATTGTGACATTTACGGATTGTCTTTTTCTGAGTTCTTTAGATATGTCCAAAAAACGGTGCGAATTCAAGAGACGGACGCAAGAATTCTGAAGTGCCGATACGCTTCCCACAACCAGGTTTGAGAGACAGGCTAAGACAACACGCGAACGGGTGCTAAGCTAACGTGCAGCATGCGTTTCTTTGAAGTCATTCTTCCCGACTGTCTCTTAGAATCCAAGGTGCCACGTCTGCCCCTCTCCTCTAACAAAAACGAGTAAGAAAAAGAAATCGTCTTTTCGTTAATTCCGTCGATCTAGCGGCGTTGAAATCCAGTGATGACATGGAACGAAGCAGTCTGTTCCAGAGTACGGCTCGATTCTCTGAGGCAAAGACAAGCAGAGACTTCCAAATGGGTCCACCGCCTATGAAACCAAAAGTATCTCACTGCAACATCATAAATTCTGGGACGCACGCACCACCATAATTCGTTGCCACTCACCATTGTCTTTCAACGGCTGCTGGCAGTGAAGTTATTTATAGCCCTACCACAGCCCACGGTGTCATGATATAACACATAGTCTTTTTAACGTGGAGTGCTCATATGCGGGACCGCAAACTACCAGGTCTCCGACTACTGTCAGGCTGGCGACGGCATTTCACCGACCTACACTTTTTAGTGCAATGTGGGAGGTTCTGCTGCAACATAGAAATACCCGGAACTAGGAATCCCTCAAAGTTTTTCCCCTTCCCTGTCCGAAACCAGAAACATGCCAAAGAGGTCTTGGCAGCAGACAAGTTGCTTGCAAATGAGCTGCCTGCCTCTTAGATCGAAAAGCCAAACCTATAAATATTCATCAGCAAATCACACTCGCCCATGCCCACATATGATCGTCTACACGAAAAGCATTTAACTCACAGATAATCCGTCACATGGTTCAACACATCCCTCAAGTAATGAAGGGATAAACGTCTGTATCTGTTTAGTGCCCAGTTTCGCTGAATCTTGTTCTTGAAAACACGGATGAAAGATCCTGCTGAATGAACCCTGTTGGCATGAAGAGTTGTACCTGGTCTTCGATGATGCTAAAGTAAGATCGTAGTCGATGCCATACATTCCACATGATTCACTCAACTTAGGTCCAGAAACACGGCGCATGGGTGCCGCACTCATTGGCCGACAGAAACAAAAACAAGCGATCATCCAATGCAGCCAGTTTACTCGCTCGATACCAGGCTATTCGTGGATATAAACAAAGAGCTCCGTTTAGAAGTTCTGTCAAACACATTATATTCTCCTGATTCCGACTACCAAATTTTCTGTTTCTTTCTAGCAATTTGAGGGGTGTATCGTTCAACAACCATGTGGAGCTTAAAACGCGGCTTGATGAATCTGGCCTGGCACGGTTCTTTTGTCAACGAGTGCAATTGATCAAACTGATCAGGTCGGCCAGAAAGCGGAGTTTGAACTTCCCCTCATTCAAAAGGGGAAACCATTTTTGTGCAATTCCATCTGTAATTAAGTCATCTTTGTACACAGCACAAATCTCTCGAGCAGTGTTGTGATCTTGATTAAAAATCAAAGAAAAGATGTTGACCATGCTCATTCTTGTCTGCTTGGCATTCCGTCTCAAAGGGAATAAAATTTCAATAAGGATAGACAGCAGTTTCACAGGATAGCCAGAGTTACTACGATGCAAAAATGCTACGAAAGATTATTTTTAAAAACTTTAGAAAAATATCTGAAACAAACAAATGCATATACGTAACAATCTAATATATGGCATTTTGCATTGTTTTAGTCGGTTCTTTGTTTAATCTTCGAAGATTTTCTTTATAGCAAAGTTAACCTAATACAAATTTTGAAAGCCATTCAAGCGAGAGGGTTATATCCAAAACGGTAATGTTCAATGGTGTGTCTAATATGAACTGGGGAAAAAATGAAATTTAAGAGGATATACAGGGAAGATGGCGATTAACATGTGATTTGAATAAGTACAAAAAATACTGTGTTCAAGGATTTGACTAGGCGAGGATCTTTTCCACGTACTAAAATTTTTCTTGGGGAAATGTTGTTTGAATGGAACACGGAAGAAATAAAAGGGACTCTTTCCTGTCGAACAAGTCGACTAGAACACGGAGAATCGGTGTGTTTGAACTCCATCCTTCAAACGGGGAAGCCATTTTTGTACCATTCTGTCTGTAATGAAATCTTCGTTGGACGCAGCACAAATTTCTCGTGAAGTTTTGGAATCTTGATTAAAAGTCAATAGAACGTGTTGAACATGCTCATTCTTCTTGTGGACTTGGTATTCAATCTCAAGGGGTTGTCTAACTTGAAATAAAATAAAATTTCAATAACGTTATACAACAGTTTCTCAGGGTGCCCAGAGTTACTCTAAAGCAAAAAAAAGGGATAGGAAAGATTAATCTTCGAGATGATTTACCGAACATTAAATAAAAACAAACGAATATATGTAACAACGTAATATGTTCCACCGTTTCCCGTCAGAATGTTGACAAAACTTGCGCACTTTTCCACCGACTTGTTTTCCTTACAGCATTCAGAGCAAATAATATTTATCAGTTGATGAAAGTTTCAGTTGTGACGCCCATTGAACACGATGGAAATTATTTGGTATCAGTGATCTGACCGATTTGTAGATACGTAACCACATGCTCATGAACGATTGCTATATTGGGTATTGTAGCATATTCCTGTAATCGCCATTATGCAAACAAGCTAGTTGCTAAGTAAAAAGTAATACCAGACGGGTATTTCCGGCATACTCCTCCTTTAATTGGCATCTATCAGCCAGATTCAGGTAGCTTTAAAGTGATTTATGCACCAGTTATACGTTTATATAATAAAGTTCTGTACACGAAAGGTAAACATAATAAACACATTCAGAAATACAAGTAAATGTTTATTTAGTCATTTTATTTATGTTGATGAATTTTGAAGAGAAATAAATCATAATCAAAGTTTTCGAACAAGATAAGAAATATTTGATTGAGTGGAGATATTTTTTATTGGTTGTATATTTTTTTACTTTTTATATTTGATATTAATTTTTTAGGAGATTTTTTTGTATTTTATGGGATTTTTTAAAAATTTTATGAGATTTTATGAGGTTTTATCATTGGTCGTACTTCCGAGTATCACTAAATGCGTAAGTCATTATATGTGTGTGTGTGTGTGTGTGTGTGTGTGTGTGTGTGTATATAATATATATATATATATATATATATAATTATTTATTTAAAATAAAATTTATAACGTAAATATGTTAAAAAAATCATTTTTTGCCATTTTTGTTTCACCCTCAGTGTCTTATCAAATGATGATGTTGAATCACTTGGGTGTTGGAAACAAAATGGCTATTTTGTAGTGATTTTTGACATATTTATGTTTTATTTTTTTTTTTAAATAAATAATTATATCTGCTCTACTTTGTATTGAGCACTCTTTTAAGAATAGTAATTGTTGGTTATTGGAATTCATTCCATATATACCAATCATATTCTTTGATATATATATATATATATATATATATATATATATATATATATATATATATATATATATATATATATATATATATATATATATATATATATATATATATATATATATATATATATATATTTATCACAAAAATTTTTTTCCTTAACCGCAACCATTAATAGGCACCTTTAATAAAACCGAACTGTCGCATCAAAATAATAAGGACAACTTGTCGATATTCGAGCCATATATATATATATATATATATATATATATATATATGTATTATGTGTGTGTGTGTGTGTGTGTTTTTGTGTGTGTGTGTGTGTTGTGTTTGTCAAAAACTTTGCAAAACAACAGAAGGATTTTTTCCTGGGCTTCCAATTAAATTTCCATTTAAGAATATTTTTCTTCCCCAAATATTGTTCATCATTTTATTTATGATTAAATTTCATTAACCTCATCGTTGGAGTAATGGGTATCGCCTCTGATTGAAGAATCGGAGAGCCGAGTTCAATTCCAGTCGAATCCATAACATTCGCTTACTTGGGAAATAGAATCCTCAATTCCCCCCATATTTAAATTGATAGACAGACCGGGTTCTATAGCCTTGAATGGCAACTGGCTTTCTACATAGCAGAAATTAAAGATAGAACTACTGATAGAAAATAGTCAATCATGTATCGAAAGATAGATTATCGCCATATATATATATCACGAATAGATAGATAATAAATATCTGAACTTCGATTCAGATAGATTGAGATAGAAATTCGAAACCAAGATAGATAGATCATTTTCTTTTTTTTTTTTATATAATTTTATTATGAGTTGTAATAAAAATAAATTTTGTTATTTATGGCCGTCAAGATATATATATATATATATATATATATATATATATACACACATATATATACACATATATACACCCACACACACAAACACATATATATATATATATATATATATATATATATAAATATATATATATATATATATATATATATATATATATATATATATATATATATATATATATATATATATAGATAGATCGATAAATATATTTATAGATATTTATTTTTTTTTTATATTTATAAAATCATGGCAATAAAAGCTGATTGATGCTATATTCAGTCATCCCCCAGAATACATTATTCTTTGTTTATTTCTGCAGAAGTTGATTTTTTTTCGTTCGATCCAATGTCAAGGTAATTGTCAATTTTAACTCAAAAAAATTCTCTCATTTATCTATTTCTATATTATGAAACCCGTGCTTTTAATTGATTTTAGGTTGATTTTTTTCTTCGGAAAAATTTGTGTATGTGTGTGTATGTGTGTGTGTATATGTGTGAAAGTATGTATATGATGTGTGTGTGTGTGTGTGTGTAATAAAAAATCAGTTTGAAAGATGAAATCAGAAAAAAAAATTATGAACAAACGCCGGGAATCATTAACTCTTTAGCATCAAACTGTTTTCTTCTTGGCAATTAGACTAAAGAACTTCATTTTTTAAACTGAACCCAAAAGAAAGTAGACGCCTGTTTTTTGCCATATAAACTGCGGTCCAACTGTCGAAATTGATACAGTATTGTTCTCAACGCTGACAACATACATTCCATGGATGTCAAGAGATCATGGCTCATATGGACTCTTCTTTCCTTTGATACTTCAAATTAATTCTAATTGATCATCCTATTCCCTGTTCTATAAAGATCATTAAGGCCATTTATATGATTTATAAGCTTTGATCCTGGATATTCTCAAATTAAATACTGACTATTCGACCGCGAATGGAGAATAATTGTCTCGTATTTTGAGACTTTCGGCTGGACTATCACTTCTTAATACGCTGTTGTAAATTTCTAAATGACAGTAGCGGTAGATTTTATTAACCCATCTATGGGTTCGTCAGTGAATAGTATTAATTAAATTTCACTATTTGAATGTATAAAAATACAGTTTTAGATAAAATTTGATAGATATATAGTAGATAGATAGATAAATAGATAGATTACATTTTATGCATATTTTTAGATATGCATTTAGATAGATAAATATTTAAATAGATAGATTAGATAGATAATAAGAATTGACATAGATATAGATAACTAGATAAATAGATAGATAGATAACTAGATTCATAGATATTAATATGAATAAACAGAGATAGATATTCATAAAAATAGACAGAGAAACTGATAGTCCAAAGATAGATCAACAAAGATAGATAGATATAATAAACATATAATAAATAGATAGATAGATATTAGATAAATAGATAGATAGATAGATAGATAGATAGATTCAATTGATAGATTATATTTTTTTTTTAATTATAATACACCAGGCATGATTAATAAGATTTCGGAAAATATATAAATATATTAAAATAAATAAAAATTATATGCTGTTAAGCAAAAAAATTGTCTTGAATACGTTAAGAAAAAAATAAATTCAGTCAATAGACGAAAATAGAAAAAAAAAATTTCTTTCTACCTATTTATCTTAATTTCACGTGATCCAAAATTCAAATTAGAAGTTTTACCATTTATCATGTCTTAGAAAACCACAATCTTTCAACATTCTTTCTGCAAGAGGATATTTGCATTTTTCGCCAAACATTTTCATTCTCAGAATCAATCGCCAGTCCATGGTAAAAGGTATTTTATTAATGAACCAAATTTCTTTTGTCTCAAAAACTTTCATCCTTTAAGTACTATTAAGTTTTATATAGTTTATTTTTTCATCATTTAAATTCTAAAATTTCCACATTAATAAATAAAGGATAGATCGGATTGAAAAGCCTTTTTGGCAAATGGTCTAAATATTAAAAAATAAGCTACCTATAGCGGTAAAAATTATGCCTCCAGAAACAGTCATGTTTAATGTAAGATAGATGATCACCTAATAATGATAACTTAATCACTTCCAGCATAAACTGATTTTCAATATCTGATTAGGCAGCTTCGGGTTCATTTACTAAAATTTGACATCATTTCGAAAAAATAATTTTGGCAATTTTTCTTGTCAAAATAACCTCAAATTTTCACTGAATATATATAAAATATAAATATATATATATATATATATATTTATATTTTTATATTTTTGTTATATAACTTTCAAGTTGAACCATGCCGAGACTTTCAAAGAGAAGACGTTTTGCGTCTTGGAATATTAATAAAATAAAAAGACTGTGCATTATACCTTCATTAATTAAAATTTGGAAAACATTTTTTAACTGTATAAACAAAACGTTTCCAAACCCTTCGTTATTCATTTATTTACATCAGAATATTCGAAGATATTTTTCATTGATGCATCCATAGGCAGGATCGGCTTTCCTCAATCGGAGATATGTCAAAGATGAGTTGCGCTAAAAGAAATTAAAAAGAAAAATTTTCTTCCTTTCTAAGCAGGAAGCATTATTTCAATTCTGAAATGTATGGCGACGGTTTTAAATTTAATTTCTGAAAAATTAACGAATTTCATTTTTTGATAGATTAAAATTAATAAATTCTTTTTTTGATTATTAATTATTCGGACTTGGTTCATAAATTGTCTTTCAAAATTGCATGAATGTAACGTTTCGGGCGTTGTCACGCTTAACGAAAACAAAAAGCTCAGCTGGTTAGAGCGCCAGTCTACTTAACTGGAAGATGGTCTTTTTATTTGAATCTCTACAAATGAATGACGGTCATTAAACGATGCTTTAAAAAAAAACCAGGAAACGCAAAGAAAAAATTTCCAATAAAAAATTGTGTCATCTTGACCCCACACACACACACAAGTAAATACCGCCGTTGTATATATATCCGGCCTATATATATTGGAATTTTGAACATTGACCTTTAAGACCGAGCGATGATAAACTAAACTATTCTGTTCAACGCAATATTTGATGGATTTTTTTTCACCTCATTATACATGGCATATATATATAAAGGCGTTTTATACTAGATCCAATGAATAAATGTGGGATTTGTGATCTGTGATTTCAATACCTTTTTAAATTGGTTGAGAACTTTCAGAATTTCGAATTAGCAGGAGATAACTGATAACTGACATCCATCAAATATGGTACGTGGAACTAGAATGTCATTTAGTAAGCGAAATAAATATTCAGTTCGAAATTCCAACCACCTGAAAAGGCTTATCATTATTACGGCCGAAACGTTGTTATAAATATTATTAAAGATGAGGACAATAAAAATGTAAATAATGTAATGTATAATACCTCATTAAAAGAAAATAAATAAATATACATTTTAATAAATAAACATGTTTCTAGCTTAAATATTTATAGTCCATTAAATGTAAAGACATTAAATTGGTAAAATCTGTTTATAGAATGAATAAAAACCCATATTCTTTTTTTAAATTTGTACGTCGTCCCCCGGTCGCAGCGCCAACTGTGACGTTCTATCCTGATCTACCACGGCGCCAGTTGTGACGTTCGTTCCAGGGTCCTGATCCCGGTCACGACACCAGTTGTGACGTCCCTAAACAGCACCAATTGTGACGTCTTCGCCGCGGCGCCAGCTGTTCGCTCCTCGCTGCTCCGTTCGGGTGTCGCTGCTCCAAACGTGACGTCCGCCTGTCGCGTCAGTCGTGTTGTCTCGTCCTGTGACGACCAACTGGCTTGGTATCGGTCGCAGCACCCAAATGTGACGTTCTAACCTTTTGGTGATTCGGGTGGGAATCTGGTTAGATTTGATATCAGCCTCGTCGTTCCCAACTCGCTTCCAACGCCTGGTTACCAAGGTAACTGCATTGATCTCCAGTCTGCCTACCCACGTTGTGAATTGATCTTAGACAGACGAGATCAAACAGGGGTTGGGGCCGTAATGCAAATTGAGTTCAACGGGGGTGATAACACACAAATATGCATAAAAGAAAAAATGAAAACTCAAAAAGTTCAAAGTATCAAAGAAAAAGGTAACAAACTTTATGTCTAGTTGTTCGATACATAGGACTGCATCTATCTCCTGACCCGTTCTGTGGATTGTGACACGTCGTTTTCGCTAGGCAAGTTTTAACGCTTCAAGTTGTTTGCTCTCTAAGAAATTTGTGTTTCGGTGTGTCTTTGGACGAAAGTCGAAAAAAAACTTATTTCTGTGGTCTGGTTCTAAGTCGCTCTTCAAAATAATTGTTCTTGGTTGAAGAGGAGTCCGAAATTTTGCGTGAATCTTGGTCAGCTATCTTGAGGCGGCTTCTCTGCTGCCAGGGAACGAACTGGTCAGGGTCATCGAACCGAAACTCTCTCTGCCCGTCAGGGTCTCAAACTAACTGGGCACTCATCTCAGCCGTCAAGGCTCGAACTCTTCTGGAAACTAACTCTTTGTCTCCGCCAGGGTGAAACTACTTGGCACTCATCTCTGCCGTCCGGGACTGAACTACTGGAACTCTGTCGTCCGGGACTTCTGCCTGTTGGGGCCTTCGTTTTTATTGACGCCGACAAAAACCGGGTTGGGTCTGTTGGCGTCCAGGGGTTCCTCGATAATTCTAAATACATATCCACCTCTTTTTATTTCTGGTTAGGGATTTTCCACTCTTTTCCATTTTTGGTAACTTTTTTCACTCCCCACTTTCTCACCATGCTTCTGAGGGGCGTGAACTGCCCTCCCCACTTCTTCGTAGCAGCTTCTCATACTTATACTCTGGATGGGGGCGTCGACAGTTTTCTTCGTGCGTCACGTGATCACTCTCGGCCAATGAGGTCTTGGTCGGGTATCTTTCCTCCTCCTTCGTGCGTCATGTGATCACCACTTGACCAATGACGTCTTAGTCG